AGCTGATTCAATATTTCGTCGTAGTTTTCTGCGCCAGCATAATATGCTTCCTCTCTGAGATTGACTAGTTCCTGGAATGAAAAAAGGAACAAAAGCTTAAATTAGTAAAACCGCGTCTGCTATATATATATAAATATATATATATATATATATATATGTGTGTGTGTGTGTGTGTGTGTGTGTGTGTGTGTGTGTGTGTGTGTGTGTGTGTGTGTGTGTGTGTGTGTGTGTGTGTGTGTGTGTATGTGTGTGTGTGTGTGTTTGTGTGTGTGTGTGTGTGCACAGCTGAAAAGGACTTGTTATTGCTCGTGAACTATGATAGCGCTAGGACAATTAACTGCGAAATTATATATGAGGTAGAAACGCACCCTAACTCCCTTTTCTCAGATTCACCGTAATTTTGAAATTTATTCATTAGCTTCTGCTATACACAACGAGTGCCCCACAGCGGGAAATCCGACAGTGATCTGTCGCTGTGGTCTTACCATGAATTCATCATAGAAATCCTCATCGGAGACGTTGGGCGGGAGTAACCACATCGTGGTAAAGTTAATGCTCTCATCAAGAAGCCGACTTAGGACGAACGGGTTGCTGTTGCATATGGTAACGGCTGGGAACTCAATCCGCCCGTGGCCCGTGGTATATCGGTCCTTGCTCGGATAGGAGAAATACCTGAAAATGCCATCGCATGCGGGGGTCTTACGCGTGCGTGCATTCGGTTGATGGTTTGTGACAATAGATCTGTGATAGAGATGAATCTATGGGCTTAGTAGCCCCTTGCATCTCATGTAATCTATGAACGCGACGTTCATACCATATGATGCAAGCCACCTATCTTATTGGATCCATGACGCTCGCCTATTAAACTCCATGGTGTTCAACTTATAAGATCGAAGAACGTTATTAAGGCGCGATTTTGCTCTTTATCTTAGCTATAGAAGGCACTAAACACGTTGAGCATGAGGCAGTCTAGTGTTGCGAAATCAAAACGAATACCAAAATAATTATTGACGCATAGGCATCTGTGCATACAACCATACAGACGCGGAAACAAAGTAAATACCGTGATCAGAACCTGCATAAATTAGCTGCCATATGCTATTAACGATTGCAAACATACGGATACCGAGCATGGACGGCCGCGTATACATGCTATAATGCGACATGTCAAACAACCACAACGTACGGGCAGCCGCCGAGCGACACTAAAAATGGCTGGCGACAGTACATACGAGCCCGAAGAATTATAGAAGAACTAAACCAGCGACTGTGTTGATTCGAAAGGTGACGAGACGAACAATGCTAGACGAACTGTGACGGAGAGTCGAGAATTAAGTGATCAATCGCAAATTAAATCAAACGAGGAATACATCAATCAGAAAAGGATAGGGATTTTCAATAAATATATATACGCGAAATGAACGATGGTGAGTGAGATGGAGACATGGCACATTGCTAGTAGATTAACTGTTGTGGGCAACGCTTTTCCGCAAACAAAGACGCTGAATAATATGTGATCTCGATTGACCTGACAAATGATTTTCTACTTTGGGTACAGTTAAATTGCACACGCCACACTCATTTTATTATATTTAACTCTATTCATACTCGATCTACTATTATTATAATTTATCTATTATAGTCTAATCTATCAATATATTTACGAAATATTGTTACTATTCGGGATTATTTTTCCCGGTCAACTTACTGCAATATTGCTGGTTGCTGGATATTAAAACAGAGGCTTTTACCAAAGCCGTTTCGAGAATATCTTGGATAGTGTATATCCTGTTATTCTCCTGCCTCTACCACTGCTCTAAACGAGAAGCCAAGAAATCTGACCCTTCCATTGCAGTTTGTATGACATTATATAGACTCTCTAATAGATAAGTTATTTAGCTATTGAAGAGTACAGCTATGTGAACAACTATGACGCATAGATCTAGAGGAAAAATTGGATGCATAGATGATGAACTAGTCAAAGCAACTCTCAAGACACCTTAATCACTACGTAATTAAAGTTACACACATGTCACAAACGCGCACACGAAAGTTGCCGTCCAAATTCTATTACCCTGGCTATTTACCACAGTGAGCTTATAGCCTACTAATTATACTAATTATACTAATTATGATGCGACACGGAGCTATAGCGATTACTGAGAGGCCTGCTGAACCGAAAGCATATTTCGCTGCCGAAACCGCCCTCGAGTCGTCGTATACCTGATGAGAAGCGATGAGGTCTGCCAGACGACCATGCTCGTAGCTCCAAGAAACAATACTGTCCACGCGAAACGTTCCGTCATCGATCGGGAGACACATATGTTCCTGACTCCGTGCGTTGACGTACTTCCCGCGAACTTTCGGGCGTTCTCCATGTTCCGCCCCCCCCCTAATCAGAACGCCTCTTCAATGATGTGTGTTCATTAATTGACTGCTCACGATTGTTCACCACGTTGCGCGGGGGCTGGCCATCAAGTGACGTGAGGAATTGTATAAGTACTCGTTTATATCGCTTACGACAGCACGCACGTAATCAGTTCGTGGGTTCGCGTAATGTTCTTCGTCGCGTATATCGTTGGTGACAGCACGCACGTAATCAGTTCATGCGTTCGCGTAATGTTCTTCGTCGCGTATATCTCTTACGACAGCACGAACGTACTAGGTTCATGTGCTCACGTATTGTTCCTAGTAAAAATATCGTTGATGCGCCCACGCGCGCAATAATTTCATGTGTTTACGCTGTGTTCCTCTCCGGTAACATATGACAGAACGTTTAGAATTTACCGATAGTTGACAGAGGGCGTTGGCACACCTGCGCTGCTTGCTTCGGCGCTCAGTTCTTGCGAGGGCTTCACCACGTATGACTGTTGGCGCTGGCACATGCGTTTAGTAACGTGCGCAAACCCGTATACGCGTCATTGCCAATATAATTATCCTGACGTTCACATGACAGTGGAAGCAAACTATGCAACACGACTGTACCTCGAGCAACTACAGAATTTGCTATTGATTAGAACCTCGTATGTTTGGCATGGTTTAGTAAGCAAACAAGGGCAAAAGCAAAGCACGTTGGCCTGTGTGTATAAGCATAATGTTTTCCATTACTATTACTGACGCGCGTTTCTGTCGGTATTATTAAAACACTATATAAAGCCTAAACGTTTGACGTATGATAATGATGATGACGACGATGATGATGATGATGATGATGATGATGATGATGATGATGATGATGATGATGATGATGATGATGATGATAATGATGATAATGATAATAATACTAATAATAATAGTACTAATGATAATAATAATAAGACGAAGAATAACAATAACAATAATAATAATAATAATAATAATAATAACAATCATAATAATATTAATAACAACAATATTATTAATATTTTATTAATAAACATTGTCTATAGTTCTCAGGTATTATCATGATATTTTTAGCTGAAGCTTTATCATGCATATAAAGGTATCTAACTCATTCAGTTGCGACGCACGAACGCACACACGCACGCACGCACGCACGCACGCACGCACGCACGCACGCACGCACCCACGCACGCACGCTCGCTCACACACACACACACACACACACACACACACACACACACACACACACACACACACACACACACATATATATATATATAATATATTACTCTATATATATATATATACAGTACGTATAGTAAGTTAAGTAAGTAGTAGTAACGTACGTCCGTCCGGTACGGTAGTTTAAGTTTAACGA